GACCTAACCTTCAGTGCAATTCTGTTGTTCACACCTTCTCTACGAAAAACTATAACTCTTTTCATGTGTTTATATTTTGCACAATATTTTCAATTTGATATATCATTGCGTCTAATGGTCTCAATTCGACAAAACAATTGCCACTCAATATAAATATATAAATAAATACTATTATATATATAAATATAAATATTATAAATATAAATATATGTTATAATTAATAAATTAAATTTCCATAAAATATGAATTAATTTTGTGTGTTTTTATTCCTGTAGTAATAATGTTTTTTAATTATATTTTTGATCGTAAATTACGATTCGTAATGACAGTCAAATATCATATAAGGGCTGGCAGTGAATGACTAATTAATTTGACGATAAATTTAAATAATTTTAATAAAAATACTGACACAGGTATTACGTTTATACGTACTCGTAGTACTGACATTTGAATAATGAACTCCAAATATAAACTATAAATTAGTTGGTTTGTCAAATTGTGAATTAGTCTAATTTCTACATTATACTATTGGTTCGAGTACATTTTGTAATTGTTCGTACTGTATAATTAGATTATAAGTTAATTTCTGTACTGAAATACTGCTTTACTATTTGATTGACAAAAATAGAAACCAATGTTTGGATTCTCTATGTATACAGAATATGAATTTAGTTTAGATTTTTAAATTTAAAATTCATGAATAGTCTTATAAATAGCTTTCTTACGACTATTTAGAGTGCGTTTAATACCTGACATTGTGTTCACATAAAGGGATCTAAAGATTGAGAAATCGTTTCTTTTATGATAATATGACGGATGCCATGAGTTATTGAATGAGTCGGACGTGTCTTAGGTTTTCAAATATTGAGTTTTAAATTCAAATTGAGTCAACAAAAAGAGTGAATATATTTTGTATTCACTTAATTCTTATGGTAAGAAGTTTATATATGAAATCATTCACACATTTATTTATTTATTTCAAATTATTTTCACGTCATAATCGACTGAAACAAACATTTGACACAAATTTCATATTATGAAAGAATCGCCGCTTTTGTTACACGAAAACAGGAATTCATTTGAATTAATGAAGAAAAATAATTACTATATTGTATTGTATAACATAAAACAGTACTTAACTCATACTTCATTAGCCGTTCATTATTGTCTAATTACATAATTAGTAAAAGTGAGCATCACTTATACGGATATCATATAAATTTAGAGTCCATTACAAATGAAATAATTAATTAATTTCTACATCATATTCTCATACATTTGTATTTTTCCAGTAAATGAAAATTGTTTGAAATAAATATATTTTGATTTAAAGATATCCGTTTCTGTGGAGGAAAACTTATTTTCTAATTGATAAAAAGAATTGTTAAGTATTTTAATAACAAATTAAATTAAAGCCTCAAAATGCAAACGAGACTTCTGAAAGGCTTTTACTCGAGTAGTACAGTACAGGGTTTGTGAATAATTTCCATTAAATTAATTAACGAATGTCTGCTATGAATACTAAAACTTACAAATAAGGAGTAAATCTTATCTTTTAGTGAAAATAACTCAATAAACAAAAGTTAGATATAGAGTACTATCTTATAAACTGGTGAAAAACTATTAACTTTCACTATTTACTATGAGAAATCCAATATATTTAATAAAACAAAATAAAAACACGATAACTTTAATTATAAACAACTTTAAATTATTATTTTATTTGAAAATAAATTCTGTGAATATAATTTTTTTCTCTAAAAGATTCACTTTTTTTATATTTTAATTTCAATTAAATTCATTATTGATTTAAATCATTACACATAACAATATACTGTACTGTACAGTACAACTAAAAACAGTCAAACTGTATTTGTATTAGTGTTCAAATCTAATAGAAATATTTGTCCAAAACTTGAACCATAATTAGGTTAACGAAGTTTAGCAAAACGAAAATCAAGATCAATTTATTTGTATATAACTCTGGACTAAAGATAAGCTCATATACAGTATGCCTTCAATTATACACTTATTTACCTTTCCTTGCGTCCAAACCATTCGTTATACTGTATTATGATTCGTATAATTCTGTGCTTCAGCTAAAGGGCTATACAGTAGTATATATTTGATCAAAACTTTCCTCATTTTATTTGCTACTAAATTATTCAAATAATTATCTTCAATAATGTTTAGAATGGCATTTCATATCCTTTTATGACGTAAACATTAAATACTTTGTTTTCTTAAGATATTGTATAAATTTAACAGATTTTGCTTAAAATAAATGAATAAACATTTTATTGTCAAAACGTTATAAATATATAATGAAAAGTAAAATAACAAAATTGTCAATACAATTTAAGTAATCATTGAATGAAATTATAACTTTTTTGATCTAAAAGACTATTTGACAACAGATACTAAACTTGATATTAAACGATCAGATATTATCAAAGGAATACATAATGTATTTAATTAGAGAAAAGAGATCGAAATAGATATCAGATTTTTTTTATAAGAGATGAATACATGTAATGATAACTTCAGTTACAAAACATAACATAAACATTATTTGTTTGTGATATTTTTCATTAAATCCAGTAGTAATATACTGTTCAGTGATAATGAGATTCCTATGAACTATAAATAGTTTAATTTCTTTTATGTAATCCTATATTTGAAATAATATAAACAAAAAGGTAATAAACAGTTGATAATAATTTAATAACTTAAACAAATATTCTATAATTTGATTGTATGTTTGTTTTAAATGTAAATTTACATTACAATAGATTATTCAGAATATTATGCATAATAACAATATTTTTATATTATTTTTACAATTGATAGCAACTATAGTTTTTTCTGTGAATTCTGTTTTAAATAAATAATTCAATATTTTATATTCGGATCACATATTAAAATCATTCACTCAAACACACTATTATATCATTTTCTTGTCATATTTAAAATATATTTAGTTGTAAATTTTAGTCTAATTAGAATTAAAAATAATAATATAATAGAATTTTTATTTAAACAACATTTTAGATTACTAAATCTAATGATATCTAAACAATTTAAATTTATATATTAAGTAATATACTTGAATAATAATTTATTTTTAAATAAAGATATTTATTAAAATAACATTATTTTGATCAAATAAAATATCTATTCTCATAATAGCCATATTAATAATAATTTATAGCTAATGTTATTACAGCCATAATGGGATTCAAATGGAAGTAAATCATTACAGTATTTACAGGAATTTTAATAATTATCTGTAAATTGACTTTTGATAATTTATTTCCAGAATTTATTCACTACTTTAATCAAAATAGATATCTCGGGGAGAGTTATAAATCATACGGACACACAAAATAAATGTCACCTAAAAACACTAACAACTAATATAAATATAAATATATTTTTTCACGAGTCGTGGCTTTCATTTTTCTTTCAAATATAAATCACTTTGTCTTTCCTGTGCTCCCAAACCCCTTAACACACTGTCACGAAATGTATTATAAATTGAATTTAGTTGTAATCAAATTAATTGTATATTTCTTAATAAGAAATTTGTTTGAACTCTTATAACACGAATCACTTGACAAACCGATTAGTAAAATATGATTAGAATTGCGATTAAGAATATAATATCTTATGCCATATGTTTTTGTATATAAAAATGTCACTGAATATTTTAGAAGTCATTGAAAATATACGGAAAATAAACAGAAAAAGCTGAGTTGCTATCATAGAAACCTGTTTTTACAATTAAACCTCTAATTTATAAACTGTTTGTATTGTTATGCATTCATGAGGTTTATGACAATATATGACAAACAATCTCATGTCAGCACCTAATCCATGAATCCAGTGCTGACTAACTTATCGAGAAATAGCTTCAGATCCGCTAATTCCGTGTCTCTGATGCCCAGGGATTTCAGTAGACCCACATCGCCAGACTCGACCGCCATGAACACGTTTCGCAGGTGCTCCAGGTCACTTCTCATCAAATGCAGTGCCTTTCCAAAGTCATCTAACGTCTCACTCTCTGATCGATTCAATGAATTTGTGAATCATTTATTAATTACAACCAATCAATAATACATCGGGAGGTGAAGTGCTGGCAGACTGTGTCTGGGGGGACATACCTGAGAGGGCAACGGCTACTTTATGTGCTCCTCCGAGTGGGGCCAACGCATCCCTCGCTTTATTGCCGAACAGTTTTTCCAGATAATTGGGCCCATGATTGGTCAGTAATGTCTGTAGAAATCCGGCCGTCTCTTCAACGGGCGGTCTTTTTGCTGCAAA